TTAAACTGTAATACATTTTCATTTAATTGCAATACACATGCAATTAAGTGCTCAAAAACATTTGCGCTTTTAAAAAGAGCACTTATTATGGAAATAATACACTTAAGTGTCAATATTCCATTGAAGTGTTTCTCTATATAATTGTTTTTTTGCAAGGGTTTATTATGTTCTCCAATTATTTTATTTAAATGAGGGTGCTTTTAATTGTATTCGGTGTAAATGTGTCTGTTTGAGTTTAGTGTTAAGAAATCAGACTGCATCAGCAGCATCCAGACGAGTCATATTTGTGAGGTGTTCGAGTGAGCTCTTTTATGCATGCTTTACAAAATGTATTTTTACTGTACTGTATATACAACATTTTGACCACACGCGTTATTCAGCATTGCATAGAGTATGTTTATGGTCAGTCGGTGTTGTTGAGGACGGCCACACTAATCAACAAGTCTCATCTACAGTAGCCAGACTTTTGACTTTAGTTCAGTTTTCCATTTAGGATGCGTTCACTGAGACGGGAGATGAAACTGAGCAGCTTATGCAGTACATCACGTCAGCGCTGAGCTAATGTCATCAACAAAGCGCTTAAACGCTCCAGCATTTATTCAGGGTTTCAGCACTCACTTGTGTCCCTTTTTTGTCTTCATTATGCTGCTGCTGCAAATAAACTCTTCTCATAAGTGCATGAATATTGATTTTAGGTTAGCGAGGAGGATTTGTCATTAACTTAGCTCTTTCTGAACACCGGAGGGTAGAAAGTGTTAGCGGCTGAGACCGTCCCAAAGCCTCCGATAGCATTCGTCATGCAGATTCAGTCAGACATGGTTTGGTTTCTCATGCATATTCATCACAGGCTCGATTGCTTGGCAAACACTCAGATCAGCGCTGTAAACAGTCTGTGAACTTTGACTTTGCTGCTGTTCACAGTATTAGTCATTACACGACTAACGCTGATGGAAAACGGCCTTGTTTCGTTTTCTTGATGTTTTTCTTACTGGCACTTTCCACATGTAGGTTACAAACTAGACCTGAAACTTTTATTTGTCATTTTTTTGTTAAATATTGCAGTTTTTTAACAATACATATTTGGGACATTTTTACAGCTTAATCATAATACAGTACATATACAAATTTTTATATATAGAAAGATTGACATAAATTAAAAAAATTGAATGGTTGCAAATGTAGCCTAGTTATGTCACAATGCACTTAGAGGAACGAGGAGACGCTGGAGAATACTTTAACAAGACTTTAATGCCAGGAACCAAGGGAGACGAACACAGGAAGACGTTTAACAGCGGACAGAGAACTAGGGACTGGGAACACTTTTTATACACACAGGAGGAGGGGATGACGAGACACACCTGGGAGCAATGAAACATCAAGGGAAAACACCAGGGACAAATGAACTTAATCAGGACAGGAACCTAACCAAATAAGGGCATAGGAAGGCACATGGGGAGCAAGAAACACACACAACATGGAACAGAGTCTGACAGACATCCTGTCTATGGCAATTATGTCAGCTCATATTTTCCTCTTTTAAAAAAGATGTAACAGTTAAAACTATTACACGGTTATGTGTATCAGTCCTTCTCATCTGATTTTGCTTTAGGATTTAAATATTATGGCAACTTTAATGTATTCAATGTATTGATCTTATTTATTTATTTATTGATTTTCAGTTAATCGATCAATCATGTTTAATTTCACTTAATGTTACAAATTGTACATGTGTAATCATAAACATACTGACACAATGAATCCCCAAATGTAGAATACAATTGATTTTTTACATGTACTATTAAGATCAGCAAGGTGATATGAGTAAGTATTTTATTTTTTATTCCCGAGGCTAAAATGAGTAATTATTTTCTGAATTTTTTTTTTGTGATAATTTATTAACAATTCTAAAATATGACCCCTCATAACAACTTTTAATTTAAATAAATATACAGCAATTGTCACACACAGTAAACCCATTATAACAAATGGCACATTTAGCTTTGTCTTAATTTAGTGTGAAATAATTATGTTTTTCTGTCTGTTCTCTGTTTGAATGAGAACTCTGTGGTCTTATTTGTGTTTCACTTTTGAAGGTAATTTTATGCATGGATTTCCATGCTAACTTGGTGATAAAATTAAGTTAAAAACATTTAGTATCAATATTATGTGAGGAATGACCAAACATTTTTTCTTCTCAGCCTTAAAGGAATAGCAAAGGCGGGGAAAAACAAACGCGAGGAAAAAGTCGCCGCTCACTTTCGGTTTTGGGTCCGCTGTTCTGTCACAATGCACTTAGAGGAACGAGGAGACGTTCCTTCCAACACTTTTTATACACACAGGAGGAGGGGATGACGAGACACACCTGGGAGCAATGAAACATCAAGGGAAACACCTGGGACAAATTAAACATGGGAAAGGAAGGCACATGAGGAGCAAAACAACCACAAAACACGGAACAGAGTCTGACAAGTTAATGATAGTTATTGACAACAAATATTGATTCTTGAATAAAAGATGTATTTTATTATATATATATATATTTTTTTTTTTTTTTTTTAAACTTAAAATAACTTAAGTAAACAGGGTTGAATCGCTGAACACCAGCCAACATCAACACTATGATTTAATATACAATTAGATAATTAAAAAAAAAAAAAAAATGTTTTTAATTAATTCATTCATTTATTTTTTGCTTACAATGTAACAGGGTTGAATCGCTGAACTTCAGCCAACATCAACACTATGACTTTATATATATATGTATTATAGGATCCAAATAATGCTACTTCTTGAGTGTCACTATTTTAAATGTGTATTAAATAACTAAAATAATTATGGTCAATATTGTGCCATTGTTGTATGATTTTAATTGTTGGACACAGTCAAGATTTTTTTTCATAATCAAAAAGTCTCGTTTGAATGGGGATACAGATATTTGATGAGTTCATTCGGAAATTGCTAGTTAATTTCTCAAACAATTAGAAAGTAATGGCGAGTAATGCATTGAATTAAATGTGAAAGTTGAAAAAAGCAGAAAAACAGAAATAGCATTCTCTTGTGAAACATGCACCAGTAATGGTTTTTAATTGTTGTTGTTTTTTCTTTAATCCTTTTTTGTTACAACTTTGAAAAACTAATTATTAAAGTGCATGCTCTTTGAATGAAAAAAGTAACGTTTAAAACATTCAGTGTATTTGTGTCTTATGCTGCAGGCAGTAAAAGGAATTAAATCAACCTGAAACCTGCAGAATAAATATAACCTTTTTGCATTTGTACGTTATTTACAGTACATTGCACATACATCATATTATATTCATGTCAAGGCAGTATGACTGCGGCTTGATTGTGGATAAGTCCGTTTGTGTTTGGTTGTCTGGACGTTGTTATATGTGTTCTGTGTGGTTATATTTTGGTCTCTCGACTACAGATTGTTTTGTTAAATATTGTTAGTCCAGTCTCCTAGAAAAGTAGTAGAAATCTTCTAAGTGGGCGTGAGATGTCATTCATGTCTGTAGCACAAATGCTGCAGGATGAGTTACATGCCAGAAAATTAATATTTAGGGTTGTTTTTAAAGTTTATAATGATCAAAAGTTTAGGGTTGGTAATATTTTTTAATGTTTTTGAAAGAAGTCTCTTCTGTTCACCGAGTCTGCATTTATTTGATCGAAAATACAGTAAAAATTGTGAAATATTATTATAGTTTCAAATATGTTTTCTATGTAAATATGTGTTAAACTGTAATTTATTTCTGTGATGTGCAGCTGTATTTTCAGCATCATTACTCCAGTCTTCAGTGTCACATGATCTTCAGAAATCATTCTAATATGCTGATTTGCTGCTCAACAAACATTTCTGATTATTATCAATGTTGAACACAGTTGTGCTGCACAATATTTTTGTGGAAACTTACTGTCCCTAATTGTAATGATTTTTTAAATATATATTATATATTATGGATTTTTATGTTATATTTGATATTATCATGTATAATATTACTATATACTGTGTTTTATGTTTTTTTTAAATAATTGTAGCTTTTTGCCTTTATTTACTGGAATAAAGAGTGCAGAAAGGGACATACATTATTTAAAAAATAATAATAAATAAATCAGTCGAAAAATGGAAATGTAGCATACTGATAATTTTCTGCCAGGACTTTATCTGGATATGTGGAAAATACAGAAAATTCCTTCCTATTTCCTGAAGGTTTCATCATCAAGTTTTTGCAGTCTTCAGTGCCTCTATTAGACTTTCACATTTCTTTGCAAGATATCTACCAAGTCTCATCAGACATTTTAGTGACGGTTCAGTCAGCGCACAACAAAACCGTGCAAGCAGTGGAATATTCCACAGTAATACAAAAACTGTGGATGCTGTGGACGGAACACATTTCTTTTCATCTTTGTATTTCTTATATTGTTCAGCAAATTTCCAAGTTTCCAATTAAATAAGTAAATTGCACCGAATGTACAAAAGAAATCTCTCAATCTGTAACGGCTGTTAGAACATGAGCGGGCGAGCTTATTTATCTGCGGTTTGTTTGATTTGTGCTGTGTGTGAAGAGTTTCTGCCTCTTGAATCGATGACCTCTTAAGCCAGAGGAAGATCTTTTGGTTCTTCTGAGAGCGAACGCCTCACTGAGGACACCAGGTTTACAGCGTGTGCTTGCGTGTGTTTGTCTGTGTGTGGTTTGATTAACTGCAGACACCACCTGGTGTGATATTTTGCATCTGCTACAATGACATTTAGACAATTTTAAGTGTGACTTTAGTGTCCAGAAACCTTTTAGAGCCACTTCAAATCTGGATGCAAAACATGTGTATATGTAGTTGATTTCCCCAGGATGTGGTAAATTTCATTAAAATAATAATTTTAATAATTTTGTAACATTTTACAGAACATTGTCTAGACATAATTTATAATTGTAAATTAGATGCATCTTTATTTGAATGCATTTATTAATTAATTAATTTTTCCCGTTTTATAATTTTTTTTGCAGTGCATAGAAGCAAAGAAGTACTGCTGGTATTTTGAAGGAGGATACCCCATCTATTTCATGTAAGTACAATCACTTTTATTTGTCTTCCTTAGACGCTTTCCCATCATCTGCATACAGTGTTTTTTTTATGTCTTTTATTTTATAACCTCTAACGTTTACTCAACTCCATCAGCATGCATTAACTCTCAGAAGTCATTATATGTTTGTGGTGTGCTGTCAGGATGAGCCTCACTGGCTCAGCACAAGAAAATCTGACAATATCCTTCACTTAAGCCTCAAATCTGCTATCAGCTTTGTTCATTAACGCCGCACTTGCTTATGGATGAAAACATAACATTCAAGCTCAGTTAATAGAGCAGGCAGTCTTTCAGCAATATGCATTTATAACTGTAAGGTACATTAAAGATTTAAGTACCCTAAAGTCTGACTGTGCCACTGTATGTACAGAGGTTTAAAGATGCAGTGTGTAATATTGACAGCTAGCGGATGAATCTGCGAATCTGCGATCTCTGACCCAGTTCGATTGCTGGCTTCCATGGATGCAATGCACTGTGTTTTCCATCAGCTGGCAACCCGGGGCGTTGAAATACTATTGGGTAAACTAGCAGTGGGCGGAGTCACACAGACCAAGACAAAAACAGACATTTCGACACCGAACGCACTTTTCAAAGTAGAATAACTGGATGTAGCGTTGTTTTTCAGAGAAACAAGTATGTGAACTTAGTGTGTTTCCTAAATATTTGCAAACCATAACCATAAACAAAAATATTTGCATATCATGGTGTTTTATGCATTAGTACAGTCTAAAAAAATTACATACAGCCCCTTTAATGTTCACCACTAATCAGCAATCAAAACACCAGTGTACCTGCTGCTCTCCAAAATATGTTTTTCTATTATTGTTTAGGCTTATATACTATTATAGTAATCATACTACTTTTTTTCATTTTTATTTATTTATTATTATTTTTTATTTATTTATGTATTTTTGGTATTTTTTGTTTGTATTTTTATTTTTTTTAGTTTTCATTTTCATTTTAGTTAAAATTTTAGTTATGTGCTTTTATCTTTAGTTATGTGCTTTTTTCTAGTAGTTTTAATACTTCAACTTATTTTAATTCAGTTATATAAAAGGCAACAATTTTTTAAAGTTGGTTTATCGTCTAATGTTTATATTTTCCATGCATTTTGAGAGCCTGATTACCAAAACAAAATGTTTCATACCACCAATCACCAATAAAAGCTCCAGAGAAAATATTCTATAATTTATCACCAATACCAATAACCGATTATTTTGTGTACTTGGTAGCTTTAGAGAAAATATTCTATAATGTATCAGTGATATTCTATAATTTATTGCTGATACCAATAACAGATAAATTTGTATACTTGAAAGCTCCAGAGAAAATATTCTATAGTTTATCGGTGATATTCTATGATTTATCGCTGATACCGATAACCGATAATTTTGCATACTTAGAAGCTCCAGAGAAAATATTCTATAATTTATTGGTGTTGTGAAGCCTCACAACAATTCATATTTCAGCTGAATTTTGACGGCAAAATATGGACCAGTTTCCAATCAGAGAATCAAGAGTTGGAGAAGGTTTGCATTTATCGATTGATTTATATGCATCTGTGATGTGTATGCGTGGTCTACAAAAGGGGGAAAAAAAGAAATAATTACAAATAATATTCATTTATCATGTAGTGTACAACAGGGCTAAGTGGTAAAAGGTGCATTTCACTATTTTCCTCTAAATCACTAGATTGCACAAAAACTCAGTTTTTCAATAACTGAAGAATGTAAAAAGTATAAGGTATTTGGGGTAAAAAGCAACTCGACTGTTGACGCTAAAGGCGCAATAATTGACAATTTAATAGCTGGCTGACTTTTTGAGCTGTTTTTAAGCTTTTTAAAATATTATGCAATTATTAAATGGGAATTTGATTTTTATTTTTTCATTTGTATGATTGGATATTAGTAAAATAACAAATTAAAACAAATAATAATAATAATTAATTAATTAATATTATTTTATTAATATTTAAGTTTTAATGTATAATATTTATTATTTTAATAATAATAATAATTATTAATAATATATTTTTTTTTTAAATGTAAAAAAAAAAATGTGCCTCACAGAAAGTTATCAAATGGAAAGTTATCAAAACTATTTTTAAAGCTTGAAGGCTCCAGTCCCATGTATTGTACTTGCATGTAAAAGAGCAGCTAGTACAAGAAAGTCCATACAGGTTTGGAACAGTGATGGAATGATGATAAATGTTTCATTTTTGGGGAGCTGTCTCTTTAAGAGCTCTGGGCTGTATGTGGTGTCCCACTGGGAGTCTGTGAGCAGTTCATCGGCAGGCCTCCAATTATAATGCTGCATGTTCTTTCTGTTTGTAACAAGCCAAATTGAACATCCTGTTGGCCTGCTTTCATCTCTGAATGTGTCCTGCTGTAATACCTGCAGCAGTGTTCATTTGGGGATGTGATTGCATGGCTTTGCATTGTGGTGTGCAGAATAAAGCAGGAGTCCGGCGCAGTGGGAAATGCTGGAGGGGTGATGGAACGCTTGCACCCATCACACAACCTAAGCCAAGACCCTGACACACATAAACTTTGCCTGAATTTAGATGTTTTCCCCTCTGGTTCTTCTGCACTGCATGCCTGTTTTCTGTTGAATGATTGGCACCTTTGAATGACACCGAACGCAGAGGAAAAACTTGTCTTAAGGTCGTTTGATGGCTATGACCTTTCTGTTTCTTGCTGAGCTCAGATTAGTCATGTTGTGTTTGAACCCAGATTAAAGGCATATTTACCCAAAAATGAAGAAGATTTGCTGTTAATTCACTCCCCCTCAGGGAGCCATCCAAGATGTAGCTGACTTTGGTTCTTCAGTAAAACAGTAAAGAAGATATTTAGCTGAAAGCATAGGCCTTGATGATTCATAAAATGCAAGTCAACGGCCACCGTCACTTTGAGAGTCAAAAAAGCATATCAGGCAACACGAAATTAATACCTGTGGCTCCTGATGATATATTGAGGTTTTATGAAGTGAAACGATCAGTCTGTGCAAGAAACTGAACATTACTGACCACATTATTATTAGCTGTAATGTCAAACGTGACAAACGTGGAAATCCGATTCTTTTCCGAGAACTGATTCGTTTTGGGCAGTTTGTTTCAATTCAGCTTGTTTACGTAATCACGCAATGATGTAATGTATACACACTTATATTATTAAAACTCCCAAGAATGATGTTTTCATCAGCTCACCTTTTTACATAAACCATGAGAAATCATAAACTGGCACATTTTGTGTTTCCATCTAAACATGTCATGGACTTAATACATCTACGGTAGTGTGAGAAAGTAAGCTCTTCGTAAGTGTCTTATGAATGTTATATGTAGTTCCTCAGAAGCCTGTGGTCTGGATTGGTCTCATGAATTGAGTAGATTGTCGACATCAGCTATAGATTAAAGGAGCTCTAATGGTGAAGAAATGGTTATAAATATCTAATAAAGGGCTTCTACTCATTTATAAGAGCTTTAGAGTCCAATATTCCACTGTCTGAAAGAATGTCTTTAAGAAAGAAGAATACACTGGAAATCTACATAGACCAGGACTTTCTAACGATTCTGATCTGAGCTGACAGCTTTGAGCATTGTAGTTGCATGCTGTGATTCCTGAATTGTGGGTAACCTCTTTTCTAACATTAGAAATGTCTTTACTGTCATATTTGATCAATTTACTGCATCCTTGATGAATAAAAGTATGAATTTATTTAAAAGACAACAACAACAAAATCTTACTGACCCCAAATAGTAATTTCACAGTAAACAACCACACTTCTGACAATTTAATGAATTTTAACGACTTGGAAATTGCTTGTAAATTTCACAAATAATTACAAAGAAATGGTGAGTAACACATTGAATTAATCATGAAATTTTGAATTAAAAAAAAAAGCCTGAAGTAGTATATTCTTGTAAAACAAAACTCCATTAATCTTTGTTCAACTTCAAAAATTAATTCTTTATAGCAGAATACACACACATTATTTGATTTACATTTTATTTTAAATCGATTTATCTTTTAATTATGATCAGATATCCTGCATCCAAAAATATTTTCTAGGGACATTTTACAAATAAATAAATAAATACTTAGTGGGGGGTGATTTAATGTTTTTAAGGCATTTTTAACATCTGAACAAAGGACTACAGTTAAAAATGAGTGTGTTGGCTAATACTGCCACATTTACAGAAATGTTAATTAATGTGCATTGCTCTTATAAATGAAGTAATCCCTTGATTATGTAATTTATAGATGTTTCTCCTTAAGCTATTAAACTTCAAACACACTTCTGTCTTTGTTTTTATTTTAAGGCAGTGAATTTATTTCTTCCCAAGCTGTAGATGTTTACTGTGTTCTTTCTGATGATTCAGCTTTCTGTCCCTGTCTCCATCCCTCCTGAAAGATAGATCCCTCTCTGATCTGCTCTTTCATAGAATTAAATTCTAACTCGTATGTGTTTAATATTCCGTGCAGTCTCTGTTTCAGTAGCCGTTGTGTGGGCTGTCATCATTTATTTATCACATGTGACTTATATGGTGCATGCCACTTTTTAAATATAGATCATACGTTTTCTTTGAACGGCTGTAAATATTGACATGGCCTTCTTTTATAATTTATGAAGACTTTCAAGTGTGCTTGGACACAGTCTTGCATGTTTCATAGACGACCCTGTCAGCATGGCATTGCACGTATTTAGATTTTCTATTGATGACATTAAATTGGGGAATTCAGTAAACGGATTATTTTAGAAATTCACTATTCACTAACCTCAGGCAATATAGTTTCATTTAGTTTCTAAATGTTCTGAAATATCACTGTGCATTATTATGAATGAGATAAATGTCCTTTATCTCAAACCAGAGTTATTATAGTGCCGTTCACACTCAGAACTGTCCATTGTTGATCAGACATGCAGAGTCCAAACTCTCTCTGCATTTCAGTGAGCATGTCCGCTTCGACCGCTCTTAACGATGG